AAAATTAATTAATTGACCTCGCTTGTGATATTGTAATTTAACTTTTGACACCTTCTGCAATTTCGAATAATTATATTCTGTGAATATATGTATGATTTGAAAAAGAAAATAAATTAATAGTAAATATTAGGTTAGGGAATAAGTTCGTAGCGTTTTTATATTTTCTTTTATTTTACAACGACTTTTTGCTGTTTGACAAAGTGTATAATATTCATTCGATAGAGATATTAGCACAAAACTGTGCTAATCGTCTTTTTAAGTAATTTAATTTTTTATTACTTTTGAGGCTTAGAAGGAGGTAAAAAGCAACATTTTCGACACCTTCTCTTCCTCGCTTTTCATCGAGGCCAAAAAGCTGCTGAAGCAGTCCGGGACATTTGCAACGTATACGGAGAAGGTGTCATAGGCGAGTCTACAGCACGGAAATGGTTTGCGAAGTTCAAAAATGGCGATTTTGACGTCGACGAAACGCCCCGCAGCGAAAGACCTTCTGAATTCGACGAAGAGCGTCTCAAAGCACTTTTGAAGGAGGACGGTCACCAAACAAGTCGTGAATTGGCCGAAAAAATGAACTGCGATCATAAAATGATTGTCAATCATCTTCATTCAATGGGATTTGCCGAAAAATTGGGAGTATGGGTGTCTCACGAGCTTAATGAAAATAACAAAGAAAATCGCCTTCAAATTGCTTCTCAACAAACGCTACGAACTTATTCCCCCAACCTAATACATAATTTTTCTCGTTTGTAATTTTTACGAAATAAAAAAAACAAGAAACTTTTTAATACAGCTTAATAATTATAAACTTTCATTACTGACTTTTTATAAAATTGCATAAGCATCGGAAAATTCATTTTCCAATTCAACATTTAAGAAAATTAATTGCCAAATGTTGAATTGGAAAATGAATTTTCCGATGCTTATGCAATTTTATAAAAAGTCAGTAATGAAAGTTTATAATTATTAAGCTGTATTAAAAAGTTTCTTGTTTTTTTTATTTCGTAAAAATTACAAACGAGAAAAATTATGTATTAGGTTGGGGGAATAAGTTCGTAGCGTTTGTTGAGAAGCAATTTGAAGGCGATTTTCTTTGTTATTTTCATTAAGCTCGTGAGACACCCATACTCCCAATTTTTCGGCAAATCCCATTGAATGAAGATGATTGACAATCATTTTATGATCGCAGTTCATTTTTTCGGCCAATTCACGACTTGTTTGGTGACCGTCCTCCTTCAAAAGTGCTTTGAGACGCTCTTCGTCGAATTCAGAAGGTCTTTCGCTGCGGGGCGTTTCGTCGACGTCAAAATCGCCATTTTTGAACTTCGCAAACCATTTCCGTGCTGTAGACTCGCCTATGACACCTTCTCCGTATACGTTGCAAATGTCCCGGACTGCTTCAGCAGCTTTTTGGCCTCGATGAAAAGCGAGGAAGAGAAGGTGTCGAAAATGTTGCTTTTTACCTCCTTCTAAGCCTCAAAAGTAATAAAAAATTAAATTACTTAAAAAGACGATTAGCACAGTTTTGTGCTAATATCTCTATCGAATGAATATTATACACTTTGTCAAACAGCAAAAAGTCGTTGTAAAATAAAAGAAAATATAAAAACGCTACGAACTTATTCCCTAACCTAATATTTACTATTAATTTATTTTCTTTTTCAAATCATACATATATTCACAGAATATAATTATTCGAAATTGCAGAAGGTGTCAAAAGTTAAATTACAATATCACAAGCGAGGTCAATTAATTAATTTTCGAAGCAGCTTCTTGACCACTGCATATCGTTAGCATTTGATCAAGAATCATAAATAATTCCGTAGCACTTTACAGGCAGCTATAACGGATACATCATACATATTCACATTTGACAATAAAATGTCACGCATTGTTTGAAACAAAGTAAAATCGTACTTTGCTACATTTTCTTTTACGTAACATTGTGTTGCCTTATTATCGCGGTGAACACGGTAACATACGGGTCGTGGCATTTATCTCCGAACCGTTATACCAATTGTATTGTAATAGCGGCTTAAGAATTAATGCCATCTTAACGGTGCGAACAAAACGAATAAGAGAGACAATTGTTCCTCAAAGAATGTATACAAAAATCCCTACGGTCCCATTAATCATACTCGTGAAGATCACTTTGGTTCCAGGCGAAAAGTCAGTCTCGATGACGAATGTAGATTGATGTTGACGAATCATGATGAGTTCAAATCCGCCCGTTTGTAGTATTATGCCCAGCACAAAAACAGAGATATTTTATTCTTGATGATGCCATCACTGCCTTCAAAATTTTTGAGAAATTATTGATAGTTGATAGTTAAAAATTATTGACACATAGTTAAGAAATGTCAGAAATTAATATAAGAAACATTTATTAATTTTAAGAAACAGAAGTTAAATAATTTTTTATAATAAATTAAAGAGATTGTAAACCATTTTTTAAAAATGGTTTCATTGTTTCGGATTTTACCTATTCAATTTTAGCACAAATGTTCAAAATTCGCAGTCCATATACAATTATTTCATCCTATGATTAATTTACCGACCTCGTTAATTGCTTTTTCTCTGGAACCATATGTCGAAACGATTTTTGTTTATCAACTATCATTTCCTATTTTTAATATAATGAAATATTAATATAACCTCGAAAAAATATCTGCATTATTTATAATTTTTAAATTGTTTCAATTTTAATTATGTATTTTAAACGCGTAATACACCTTTGTTTCGTTGAGTATGAAAAATACAAGAAAAGTACACGGAATTAAAAATAGTAAGAAAATAAGAATTTAATTTATTTTATTTCATATCCAACAGTAGTAATTTATAACAGACACCCTGTATAATCAAATGTATGTCCAACCTTGAGCCCTCATGTTTTGTACCCAATCGTTATACTTGTATCCTTCTTATGAAACAGCAACGATACATGGCGATTTATAATTACGTGTAAGCAATAAAAATGCTAGAATTCAAGTTTCGATCGATTGTCATCACTTGTTCCTCGAACTAATCTTTATAGTAATAACAAATGCATGTTAATAAACAAAATTACACACTGCTAATATTATCCTACATATAATGATTTTAACCTTTTAACTGGTAACAACGACTTAACTCGCAATTATCATCTTCCAAAAATATTTAATTTTCTTCTTAATTCAACTTTAACTTCTTCTGTTTTGCTATATTATAGTATTTACGTTGGTATGGACTGTATTATATTTGCGACGATTGTAGCAAAATTGTTGTTATGTGAATTTTATCAGTCTCACATTATGTTTTCATAAATGTTTACGTTTGAAGGTTATATTATATTATAACATTTTATATACCGAAAGACTTTTATATAATAATAGACTTT